GATACACCAGTATGTGCGAATAATACTTCCCTCCAGTCTTACAATTTTTGATGTTAGAAAAATGTACCCAACATCACCAAGGGAAGACTCATAGCTTTGTGAAGTGTTGGTTAAACCTGTGTGATATTTATACAAGTATCCCTGCTTTATAGATTAAATCTCAAAAGACATGAGGTTGAAAGAGGATCCAAATTTATGCATGCGAAAATAAATACTTTATTTTTTTCAGCATTTTAGTGCAATGGTGAAGGATTTATTGATTATATCTGACAAGTTTTGTGAGCTCAGACAACATGTTAATGGGGTACTTAGTGAAGAGATCAGACAAAGCAGTATTTGTGTCCTAAACATCTTCAAGCAGATCTTTCTACAGGTTAGTTTCTGTTTATACATTTTCTCAGTAACACAAAATTCCTGTGATGGTGTGATGTATAATGTGTAATATATGTACTTAAGTATGTCTTCATGATGGTTTCTTTCTTTACCAATGCCAGACACTTGGAAAAGCTGCAGTGTACTCTCAGCTAAGAAATGTTGGTGATATCAGCACAAGGTTAATATCTATCATAAAGCACAAGGTACCAGTGACTTCTGTGACGAGAGCCAGTGACGTCCTCATCCTCAATTTATTACACAGAGTAAGTTTGGTTGCCTCCTTTGTTGTTGTTGCTGTTGCTGTTGAGAGTTGGAGGATATTTCTGATTTGACAATATGACATGGAACTTTTTTTTACAACATTTTTATGCTAAGAAAATTACCTTTTTCAGTTTCAGGAAAAGTTGATGGGTTATGGTATATTTGAACAGTTTCTGCTTGATTCCCTCTGTGCGGATATATTGTCACTGACAAAACTGCTCCTTGAGAATGGGTATATTGAAAGTTTTCTAAGGTGAGAGAACAAATAGGTTACACTTTGCCAGCTGATGCCTCAGTTTGTTAGGTTTTACTGTAAGATTACTCTTAAAATGAGAAATTTCTCCATATATATTTTCCAGTAATGTCTCTGCTTTTTCACTGTGCTTGTTTTTATTGGACGTGTCTCAATCATCTAATGTCTATCTGTTTTTCACCATTGTATTGTCTCATAGTTAATGACTGCTGTATCATTCCAGGTCCTCAGTAAATGCTCATAAGTATTGGAGGATATTAGTGAACAATCTGAAGGAAAATAAGAACATTGATATAACCTCTGTGGAATCAATCCTGATAATCATAACTGGCTTCCAGGTAAAGTTTCCGTAATCAAATTATGTGGATGTAAATTTGAGTAATGTGAAATATAAATATTCATGTAGGCATTCTTGTACCTTATGTATTAGGGTGGGAATTTGTAGCTTTCTTAGACTCACCAATGCTGTACCATTTCATTCGCCTAACAACGTTTGAGGAATATAATTTCTTAACTACAATTTTTTTTTTTTTTTCCCCCACATTGCAGCTAACTCCCATTGTATCTTTATATCGAGCATCCCTGGGTCCTATATTTACAGCATGTCCAGAAAAAGAGAAGGTCATTGCTAAATGGAATGAAGAGCTACATAGTAGAATAAATATAAAAGAAGAAAACAAGGTAGTACACCAGAAGAGTTTTGTTTATGAATGTTAAAAAGGAGAAACACTCGCCCCAATTTTGTAATTAAGTAGAAAAAAAAAAAATGTGAATACAGTACATGAGAGAGAGAGAGAGAGAGAAAAAAAAACCCTGAATGCGTAACCTATTTCAGAATGAAACGGCAAAACTAGAAAAGGAAATCCGGAAGATTCTGGAGAAAGATCCCGTAGAAGCCCTGCGATTGACCGTGCTGTGCATTTCCTCCATCATCAGTGCTGCCGATCACCTTCACCTGGTAGGTTGTTTAATCATTCTTTTTAATCGTTGCTTCTCTTTGTGTTTTGGTTTGTCTTCGTCTGTTTATCTCCATCATTCTCTACTTCTTTGTCTCTCCTTCTCAGTTTGTTTCAACTTGTCTGTCTCCACCTGATTCTTTGTCTCTGCCTGTCTGTCTTGTCCTCTTTTTATGTCTTTGCCTCTCACACTATCTCTCTCGGTCCATCTTGGTCTACTTCTGCTGTCAAATTATCTCTGCCTGTCTTTCTGTCTGTCCCTGTCTATTTGTCTCAGTCTCTGTCTGTTTCTGTCTCTCTGTCTTTGTGTCTGTCTTTCTCTGAATATGCAAGATGAAATTAATTTGTTCTGTACTGCCTAACAAATAAACTGACATAAAATAAGATTATTTTCTCTTTCATTTCAACAGACAACTGCAGTGACTGTATTCCAGTATTCCTATTTGTTTCAGTCTCTGTCTGTTTCTGTCTCTCTGTCTTTGTGTCTGTCTTTCTCTGAATATGCAAGATGAAATTAATTTGTTCTGTACTATCAAACAAATAAACTGACATAAAATAAGATTATTTTCTCTTTCGTTCCAACAGACAACTGCAGTGACTGTATTCCAGGGGCTATCTTTTATTTTAATCTCTCACACCTATGCTACCTCTCCAATGTCCCAACATGATGGACTTCAGAGGGCTGTCATCGATGGTCTTAGGATACTAGTGGAAAAGTACAGTGGAATCTTTAACAATTTTTGCATGCTCTGTAGATGTTTTGTTTGTTTCCAGTGACAAGATGATTGGGAATGGAATGTTAGTGTAATGGAAGGGATGAAAAGGTGTAAGAGAGAGAGAGAGAGAGAGAGAGAGAGAGAGAGAGAGAGAGAGAGAGAGAGAGAGAGAGAGAGAGAGAGAGAGAGAGAGAGAGAGAGAGAGAGAGATTGCATAGATAAGAGAATGAGATGACAGTAGTAGAACTGAAACAGAGAAAGGAATAGTTTTAGAGAACATTAAAAAGGAAGGAAAGCAATATTTAGGAAGATGAAAGTTTGAAGTCTAAAGATGTGGAAACAAAAAGCCTGGAGTAGAGACTAGAAGAGGAAGAAAAGGGAGAACTAGAAGAGAGTGAGCAAGCAACTATGGAGTGGAAGAGTGGAGAGACAGAGAGAATGAGGCTTGTAATTTTATTGCTGAAATACTGGAAAAAAGAAAAAAAAAATTGTGATCGAAAACCAATTCATATATCATAAAACTAGTCATTTACATTTAATCCTTAATTACAGATATAACATTGATTGGAGAAAGACTTATGTGTCAGTTTGTCTTATGGGTCAACTCTGTGAACTCGTGAAGATGCCTGGTATTTCTACTCAGGTATTTATAAGTCACTCCTTCGATTTTGATGACAGTCTGTTATCATTAATTTTAGTCATGTTTTAATGAAATATTAATCTCCAGGCTTTTAAGAAATTTGACATCCAACCAATAACTGTATAAGTATGTGTTAGAAATATTTTTGATATATTTAAGTTATATATTTTGGATGCATGATAGTGTATATCCTAAAATATCAAATAAAATTACAGGTTAAAGTGGCAATCCTGAAAGCCATGAATTCATGCATAAATGGATTCATACCTCCTGTTATGTCCATGTTAGTTAACAGTGAGAGGATGGAAGAGAATAGTGTTGAATTGATGGGCAAGGTCAGTATTGCAGTTTAGTGTTACCTTATTTGTGTCTTTGATGTAATTTCTGTTTTTGAAAAGTGATTTTCATCATTTTATTATTTGTTCATAAACTTATTTACTGAAGTTTTAGAAATCTAGATATTGTTTTAGAAATCTAGATATTGTTTGTTTGCTGGATTTCAGATTTTAACTATTTATCTGGGTGACACGGAGTGGGAAGTTCGGGATTCTGCCTTGGAGTTGCTCCTCACCTGTATGAAGTTGGCAAAAGAGAGTAAGTCTCAGTCTCTCTCTCTCTCTCTCTCTCTCTCTCTCTCTCTCTCTCTCTCTCTCTCTCTCTCTCTCTCTCTCTCTCTCTCTCTCTCTCTCTCTCTCTCTCTCTCCTCTCTCCCTCCCTCCCTCCCTCCCTCCCTCCCTCCCTCCCTCTCTCCCTCTCTCCCTCTCTCCCTCCTCCTCCCTCCCTCCCTCCCTCCCTCTCTCCCTCTCTCCCCTCTCTCCCTCCCTCTCTCCCTCTCTCCCTCCCTCCCTCCCTCCCTCTCCCCCTCCCTCTCTCCCTCCCTCTCTCTCCCTCTCCCTCTCCCTCTCCCTTGGTTGGGTCTAATGTTTTTTTTTTTCTTAATAGATGGTAATAGATGATAGGGGGATACAAAATACAGTCTCATAAAAGACTGCATTTTGAATCACAACATTGTCTGAGAATAATGATGGTATGATTCAATAATGCTAATTTGTATTTTCAGAATACCCATACTTTGTGGAGTGGCTGTTAAGATATAGATTGAATGATGCTCTGCTGACTGCCCTTGGAGATGTTGAGGGATATGTTAGAGCCAGTGCATTAAATGTCTTGGCAAACATCATTGAGATTGATAAGGTATATATGGATAATTTTCTTGTTACCACCAATAGCATGTGTGTTGATTGCTCTGTAGGATTGCTTGTTTTGAAACCAGTAGCCATAGGTTCAGTTTTTAACCGTTGGATCCGGGTGATGTGACATTCATGTCGGAAAATTACTGGCTGAGCACCATGTTATAGGGATATTCTGTTGTGAAAAAAATTGAGAAAGGGCTTGGTGTGACAGAATTTGCTGTCATAAAAAAAAAAAAAAATCTGAGGGCCAGGTTATGGGTATGACTCATCATGAGTACACAAAGCTCTTGGAGGAAAATTAGACTCATTGGGCATTATTAAGGGGCTCTTGCATTATTTCCACTCATAAGCAAGAGTGGACTGTAACATTTATGAGCCATGGCTTGAATAGAGCTGGATCCAGGGAGCACACTATTTCATGACTCAAGATCCTATTCCTGCCCACAGTGACCAACAGCACGGTGTGTTACAGAAAATTGAGTAATACGAAAATAAAAAGAATATTAAAAATAACATTGTTACTTATTGTTACTGTTATTGCACAGAGTTGTAGACTACCTAGAGAGATAATTTGGAGTCTACTCAACAAACATAGTCTATTACCATCTTGATACAGTATAACAAATGGGAATAGACCTGGGTAAATAGAAAAAAACAAACTTTTTCATGCTTATGCAGAAAAAGAGATAATAACATTGTAAAGGAATTGCAAGGAATCTTGATACTATACACGAGTGCTTCTATGGGCTGCGCCTACGTGACACGGATTTTAGTCAAGGTGTGGGACACAAAGCACCCGGATCCAGTGGGATAAGAATACCCCAATATGATGTTCAATAGCTTGGTCATTGTTTAACCCATTTCCGCCAGGGATGGCATGTACGTACATGCCATGCTCACTGTGAGTCGACTTGTTCGATTGTTTTTACACATAGATGGCTACACTTGTACTAAGTATCCAGTGACCCAATTACGAGTACTGCCTGTCTCGCCCGTTCACCCTTTTCATTGATTTACGAAAATATTTAACGTTATCCTAATTTGCTGTTAAAAATAACACCATCTATATTTATAGCACTAGTAAAAATACGTTTTTTCCCGCCAATGCAAGGAAAGGTGAAATCAAGACTAGCAGAGCCATCTATGGACAGAGATATTTCACAAAAATATAGAAAATGAGTACTGCATTTCCCCCATTTTTTGTTCATTTTCCCCGGCGGCAATGGGTTAATGTATGGTCCTGGCCTAAGCTACACATTGCTGTTGTATATGAGGTACAATGGAATACTAGGATTTATATCAACAGTTTCTGAAGTTCATTCATAAATTGATTGATTTTTTTTTTTTTCTTTTAGTCAAATGACCATATATTTTCTGGTCTTTGGAATAAAACATACAGATGATGTAGTTGTAGCTAATCTTAGATAATAATTGTGACAGAAGGTGGGGTCACTTGAAGGAGTATATTTCCAACTTAGTAATAAAACATGAAATCCAGAGGCAGTATTCACAAAAGATAAATAGACTGGGATTTGTCTGTGACATTCAAATATCTTTGACTCTGCAATTTTGTTCAACTTATCACAAAAAAGTCATTAACACCCAATTTAAAACAGTTACTTGGTAAGTAATACTTGCTACTTTTTTATGTTCCGTCAAATGATAAATGCCGTGTTTACTGCAGTTTTCTTGTTGATAAATACAAACGGCCCCACCCATCTTCACAGCTGATGCAGTGACAATAAAAATAGAGGGGGTATGTGTACATATAAGATATATTAAGTATGTAATATTATAGGTGTTATATAGTGGAAATTCATTGCAGTAGTCATTCTGTTTCATTATCAGAGTGGATTATCATATGTAGATATAATGTAGATATGAGTTCTAGAGAAATGTTATCTTTGAAATGTGGCACAATGCATGTTATAGACGAAACTGCCTATGACGGTCTTCAGATTGAGTCACACAAACTCTACAACAATCTTGGAGTCAAATATTTTTTGGGGGCAATCCTTAACATTGTCAAGGAAAACTTTTTGACCTTTCATGAATATTACAACAGGGCTTCAGGATATTCAGGAAGGCAAATAAAGTTCCAAACAATAATGGAAGCTGGTTCATCTTTTGGGGTTGAAACCTTTTATAAATTCATTTAATTCTGCAGTATCTCCATTAACCCATTCGCGCTGGGCGTCACGTATACATGACAGGCTCACTGTGAGTTTACTTGTTTAATTGTTTTCAAACATAGATGGCTCCACTTGTACTTGTACTGCCTGTCACGCCTGTTTACCCTTTTCTTTAATTTACGAAATTATTCTGCGTTATCTTATTTTGTTGTTACTAATGTTTATAACATTATAGTAATTATAATGTTTATAATAAAAATAACCATCGATATTCATAACACTAGTAAAAATACATTTTCCCGCCAATTCAAGTAAAGGTAAAATCAGGTAAGGCAGAGCCATCTAGTGTAGAGAAATTTCATAAAAAATGAGCACAGCATTTTCCCCATTTTTTGTTCATTTTTACCCGGCGTGAATGGGTTAAAAGTGTATGCAGTTTGACAGATCAAATGAAATGATTCGCACGTATTCCTTTTTACCCTTCTCAAATCAGCTGATTTGATTATGCTTTATGCTTTATGTATATTTGTTGCTTCTGATTGGATGCTGATCATTCGATATTAATATCAATGGATGATCAAATACGTAGCCTGACATTAGCTCTAGGTCTTTACACCTAGAGCATTTTGTAGTCTGACTCATTTTTTTTTTGTTTTTTTTGCCCATTCATAGCTGAAATGTGAACCTCTCTTTTTATCTTTACACAAAACCTTTTGTTGTTATAAATAAACTTTTCACACTAACTCTCTGGCCCAGGATAAGCTTTTCTTCACATTCTAGATTTCTTTATACACTTCATTCATGAGTGTTACAATACAACATATCAAAGATGTTCTCAACAGAAATCCACATCATCACTGTGCCACGAACTTGTAACCAAAGAATCTATCGCTAGAAAAGGCGGCATGCCATACAAAATATGCCCCTCCAAAGGAACGGTAAGGGAAAAAGCCCATAACCATTATGCATCATTAACAAGCTAACAAAAGGCATGACTCACCACTTTCCACTTCAGTTCTTTCAAGTCCTCAACACAAAAGCTGAACTAGTGTGTTTTGATAAACTAGTGTGTTTTGACTTGTGTATTGTTTGTTTGTTTGTTTTTTTCTTTTTTTCCTGATCCGCGCTGGGATATCTAATACACAGAATAGCTTGGTCATCATTAAGAAAAATCTATATAACAGTAGAAGTCATGGAATGAAATCTGCAATCAGATGGTCATATAATCCACAGTTGGATTTGATTGTGTGTGCTGGCCTTTGCATGCCTTCTCATTCTCATTCTCATTCTCATTCTCATTCTCATTCTCATTCTCATTCTCATTCTCATTCTCATTCTCATTCTCATTCTCATTCTCATTCTCATTCTCATTCTCATTCTCATTCTCATTCTCATTCTCATTCTCATTCTCATTCTCATTCTCATTCTCATTCTCATTCTCATTCTCATTCTCATTCTCATTCTCATTCTCATTCTCATTCTCATTCTCATTCTCATTCTCATTCTCATTCTCATTCTCATTCTCATTCTCATTCTCATTCTCATTCTCATTCTCATTCTCATTCTCATTCTCATTCTCATTCTCATTCTCATTCTCATTCTCATTCTCATTCTCATTCTCATTCTCATTCTCATTCTCATTCTCATTCTCATTCTCATTCTCATTCTCATTCTCATTCTCATTCTCATTCTCATTCTCATTCTCATTCTCATTCTCATTCTCATTCTCATTCTCATTCTCATTCTCATTCTCATTCTCATTCTCATTCTCATTCTCATTCTCATTCTCATTCTCATTCTCATTCTCATTCTCATTCTCATTCTCATTCTCATTCTCATTCTCATTCTCATTCTCATTCTCATTCTCATTCTCATTCTCATTCTCATTCTCATTCTCATTCTCATTCTCATTCTCATTCTCATTCTCATTCTCATTCTCATTCTCATTCTCATTCTCATTCTCATTCTCATTCTCATTCTCATTCTCATTCTCATTCTCATTCTCATTCTCATTCTCATTCTCATTCTCATTCTCATTCTCATTCTCATTCTCATTCTCATTCTCATTCTCATTCTCATTCTCATTCTCATTCTCATTCTCATTCTCATTCTCATTCTCATTCTCATTCTCATTCTCATTCTCATTCTCATTCTCATTCTCATTCTCATTCTCATTCTCATTCTCATTCTCATTCTCATTCTCATTCTCATTCTCATTCTCATTCTCATTCTCATTCTCATTCTCATTCTCATTCTCATTCTCATTCTCATTCTCATTCTCATTCTCATTCTCATTCTCATTCTCATTCTCATTCTCATTCTCATTCTCATTCTCATTCTCATTCTCATTCTCATTCTCATTCTCATTCTCATTCTCATTCTCATTCTCATTCTCATTCTCATTCTCATTCTCATTCTCATTCTCATTCTCATTCTCATTCTCATTCTCATTCTCATTCTCATTCTCATTCTCATTCTCATTCTCATTCTCCGTCTGATTCTCATTCTCATTCTCATTCTCATTCTCATTCTCATTCTCATTCTCATTCTCATTCTCATTCTCATTCTCATTCTCATTCTCATTCTCATTCTCATTCTCATTCTCATTCTCATTCTCATTCTCATTCTCATTCTCATTCTCATTCTCATTCTCATTCTCATTCTCATTCTCATTCTCATTCTCATTCTCATTCTCATTCTCATTCTCATTCTCATTCTCATTCTCATTCTCATTCTCATTCTCATTCTCATTCTCATTCTCATTCTCATTCTCATTCTCATTCTCATTCTCATTCTCATTCTCATTCTCATTCTCATTCTCATTCTCATTCTCATTCTCATTCTCATTCTCATTCTCATTCTCATTCTCATTCTCATTCTCATTCTCATTCTCATTCTCATTCTCATTCTCATTCTCATTCTCATTCTCATTCTCATTCTCATTCTCATTCTCATTCTCATTCTCATTCTCATTCTCATTCTCATTCTCATTCTCATTCTCATTCTCATTCTCATTCTCATTCTCATTCTCATTCTCATTCTCATTCTCATTCTCATTCTCATTCTCATTCTCATTCTGATTCTCATTCTCATTCTCATTCTCATTCTCATTCTCATTCTCATTCTCATTCTCATTCTCATTCTCATTCTCATTCTCATTCTCATTCTCATTCTCATTCTCATTCTCATTCTCATTCTCATTCTCATTCTCATTCTCATTCTCATTCTCATTCTCATTCTCATTCTCATTCTCATTCTCATTCTCATTCCTCTTAGGTGTACAGAATAGATGAACAGTTAATTCACCAGGTTGACACCATGTTGGATGGGGTGAAAATAATGACTCTCGATCTCTTGGGGTCATTAATTTCATGCATAGAAAAAAACTTGACAAAATGTTTTATAATCCTACCATGAATTATGATAAGAACTTCTCAAGATTTCATTGTTTTTATCACATTTGCAGCCACAATAACATATTAGTTGTTTTCATTCCTTCCAAAGTGGTGTGGGCATCAATGGTGTTCATCTGTTTTGTTTATCTGAGGGTAAGTGTTTATAGATACATTGTATATGGTTGAGACTGATTTTAGTTTATATGAACAGTAGAAAATATACTTACTTATAAAGAAAGGTAGGAAACCATGAGTTTTTGTTAACCCATGGCCACTGAGTTTATTAATTGAGTTAGTTTATTAATTGTCTTTACGGATAGATGGCTCCACAAGTATTAAGTCACCAATGAGCCAATGATTACCTCTCTCACCTGTTTACCCTTCGTCTTGATTTTCTAGTATCTTATATTGCTATTAGTAATGTCTTTGATGATAACTGTATTGATAGTATCAGTATTAAAAAAAAAAATCCAGGTAAGGTGAAATCAGGTGAGATCACAAAAGTCTATTGTAGCTAAGCACTTTTGGAGCCATCTATATGCAAAGACATTTCACAAAACAATGTAAAATTGAACACTGCATTTGCCCTGCAATGGTAGGTAAATTTGTATTTTACTATTTGATAGAATGTATTGTCTTTTCTAATATATTTATAATGTGTTACTTGTTGTTTTGTAATATAACCATTCAAAGAGGAGCATATCTCCATTAACTCAATTAGATGAACCAAAATTTGTGTTGCTTAATTTTACCTCTAATATCAGCCATGAATATAACAGAATTTAGTTAGTATTTTGTTTCCACTCAAAAGGAGAAATCTTTTTTACGAATGAAGTAGAAGCATTTCTCTTTTCTTCCCCCCTTCTCCTCTCCTCCCCTCTCCTCCCCTCTTTCTCATTCTCGTTCTCGTTCTCTCTTTCTCCTTCTCATTCTCATTCTCATTCTCATTCTCATTTTCTCTTTCTCTTTTCTTTCTTTATTCTTTCTCTCTTTCCTTTCTCTCTCTCTTTCCTTTCTCTCTCTCTTTCCTTTCTCTCTCTCTTTCCTTTCTCTCTCTCTTTCCTTTCTCTCTCTCTTTCCTTTCTCTCTCTCTTTCCTTTCTCTCTCTCTTTCCTTTCTCTCTCTCTTTCCTTTCTCTCTCTCTTTTCTCTCTCTCTTTTCTCTCTCTCTTTTCTCTCTCTCTCTCTCTCTCTCTCTCTCTCTCTCTCTCTCTCTCTCTCTCTCTCTCTCTCTCTCTCTCTCTCTCTCTCTCTCTCTCTCTTCTTTTCTCTCTCTCTCTTTTTCTCGCTGTTTCTCTCTCTCTCTTTTTCTCACTTTTTCTCTCTTTTGCTTTCTCTCTCTTTTTCTTTCTCTTATCCTCTCTCTCTCCTTTCTCACCCCTTTTTCTCCTTTCTCATCCATTTCTATCCTTTCTCACCCCTTTCTCTCCCCTCTCTCCTCTTTCTCTCCCCTCTCTCCTCTTTCTCTCCCCTCTCTCCTCTTTCTCTCCCCTCTCTCCTCTTTCTCTCCCCTCTCTCCCCTCTCTCTCCTCTCTTCCTCTCTCTCCCTCTCCCTCACTCCCTCTCCCCACTCTCCCCTTTCTCACCCCTTTCTCTCTCTCTCTCCCCTCTCTCCTCTTTCTCTCCCCTCTCTCCCCTCTCTCCTCTTTCTCTCCCCTCTCTCCTCTTTCTCTCCCCTCTCTCCTCTTTCTCTCCCCTCTCTCTCCTCTCTCTCTCTCTCCTCTCTCTCCTTTATCTCCTCTCTCTCCCCTTTTTCACTCCTTTCTCTCTCCCTCATCCTCCCTTCCTCCATCACTTCCTCAGCTCTCCAGAACTGGTCCTGATTTGATTTTTATTTTCAAAGGTTTGGCATGAACTAGAGCTTGAGAACCTTCCTGTCAGATCACTAGCAGCCGTCCTCACAGAAGGGGAGGCATCTGTCCGGCGGTCTGCCATTAACCTGATTCAAGCTCTCTTCATAGCAGGAAAATATGAGTAGGTTATTGTGCACTGTATAATGTACAGATAGTCCCCTACTTAAAAACATTCTACTTATGAACATTCCATACATACAAACAAAATTTTTTAAGTACTAAAGTCCAAAAAATTGTTTGAAAGATGCTAGCAAACTTCAAATTTCCCGGGTGCGAATATAGTTCAAGAGTCTGGTACTGTATAAGGTATATCGTACTTATTGGGATTTATTTACAGGTATTCTTAATGTAAACAAAACTTTAAAACAATGGGAAAAAGGGTAATGGAGACCCAACTTTCGACATACAGACAAATCAACTTACAAACAGCATTTTGGTCCCAATTATGTTCTTAAGTTGGGGACTTACTGTATAGATTTGAAAAAAAAGATATCACTGTCTACTCATAATGGATATTGTTAGTCTTTTGTGAGCAGTAGGCACAAAATTTTTGCTTTGCAGGGATATGATGATGAACACCATGGTTGTCCCAGTAATTCAGCATGCAGCAGAAGATACAGACGATGAAGTACGGGCTGCATCTCTCGAGTTTATCAGAGTCCATATACAGGGCAGGCTGAATAAGTCAGGTAAGTGGCTTTAAAACTTAATGAGAAGAAAAAGGATGTGGGAATTCAATGTACTCCTCTTATTCTGTCTTTTGATGCTTGTGAAATAACATGCCTTTGTTTGTTGTTGTGTTTTGTGGGATTGAAGATTAAGATTTGATGTTGGGGATACAATAAGTAAATGATTATGTAGATAAACATGATAAGTGAATGAAGAAAGTCAATACTGTTCTCTTCTTAGGGATGGTTGATGGAGAATTTCCAATGGTGACCTTCAGTAAAGGTAAAATTACGAGGTTGAACAAGGATGAAGTAAGAAATCGCATTCACAGTCTTATCACCTGGTAAGTAAATACAACTTTTTACCTAAGAAATGTGAATAAGATGAAGAATTCGGCCTTTGTATTTGTTTTCCTTTTTGTATGTTTATGTGCTATACTTTCACTCCATTAGGGTATGTGATTGTGGGTATCTGACTTCACTCCTTACCTGCTTGAAAGACCCAGTGACCGGTGTTGCATCTAAGGCGTTGGAAATCATTCAGTTTATTGGAAATCTTATAACAAAGTATGAGATTAGAATAGAGAAGAGTAAGCTCAAGTCCAGGTCAGTATTGCTATTATTGTTATTTTTCTTATTATATTTAATAATTTTCTTTTTGAAAGATGATTTAGAATATTCATACATTTATATATTTATTAATTTATATACCGGACAACTAAATATATATATATATATATATATATATATATATATATATATATATATATATATATATATATATATATATATATATATATATATATATATATAGATATATATGAAAAATTCTGTCTAGTAGCCGATTTTGCTATATTTCAGTGATGCTTCTTATACTGTGAGTTTAAGCCCAACGAAGGAGAACATAAAGGAGGAGATGCCAAGTACAAAAGTGATGGTAGCGGGGATAGAAGTCACTCTACCTGAAGATGCCAGTGCCTTAGACAAGATCGACCAAACCATTAATGACATTCTCAGTTCTTCTGCCTTGTCAGCTGTGTCATTGTAAGTCTGTTGCTCCATATCCATGTACTTTTCTTCTGCTCAGTGTGCCATTAATAATGTCAGGAATGTTTTGCTCTGCATATTATTTTGAAAATTAATCTGTTGGTAATAAAGCCTCGACTGAACATATTTCCTGTATCTCCCCATCGAAAATCAATAAATGTTCCAGGATCAAGAGGCCATTGGGTGAATACAGTAGCAGTCCCAGCCTTGACAATAGAGATCTGAAGCTGAGTAGCAATGACATCCCATCTGCTAATCCTGCCATTCCAGTGTCATCTTTGTTGCAGTGCATTGACGACTTGTCCCGCACCAACATCAAGCAAGGTACGGTGAATCTTCCGAGGAGGAGAATAGAAGATGTGATCATATTGCTTGAGTGCAGAATTGCATGTCCATTGTAGAGTCATCTTAGCGGATGGAGCTCCTCCCGCTCTTCCATTTCAAGGATCTATTATTATTTTTATATTTCAGATGATAGCCTCGACGTCAGCAACTTCATCTCCTTACTGGATGACATTCTCCTTGACGGAGGACAAAAGCCATTGTTGTCCGATGACCAAAGATTGCGAGACTGCTATTAAGCTTGGAAATGCTCATCCAATTCATTTGTACATTATTTCATCCAGTGTGCATTTGTTGATTAAGAGAGAATCATTTTAACGATAATTAGAGTGTGTCTTTTGTGTGAAAGTAGTACAAGTTTGTGCACATTTACAGAAAACAAGCATTATGATGACACTGAGAGGCACACTGTATATAAATGAAAAATTGGTGCACAATTAGATAGATAAATCTTTACTTCACCTCTTTTTAACTTGTGCCTTATTATGCCTTATGCCGTAAATCTGCTTGTAATCACGCATAGTGCGAGCCTTAAAATGAACTTGAAACTAAATGTACTTCATTAAGTGGTTGTTTGGTATCCTTGTATCAACCTATTAGTATGAATATACATTTTATACTAAGACATTAGATGGTCAGCTATTCTTGTGTATACTGTATTTAGTAGTATTTCCCAGACTGACTTTGATACTAAGATTCCTTTTTTGTTGTTATTATTGTTGCTGAAAGGGTTGTGATGTTGTTGTACCAAAAATTGACTAATTTTCTAGTATAAAAAATTGGAATGCACTGCCTCATAGATGTTTAAATCCAAGAATATTAAAGATTTGAATTTTGAAAGATTTAAAAAAATGTCCGGCTTAGGTTGTAGTGTGGTAAATGATAAAGAATTGAATTTTGGATGATTTCCAAACAATTTCAGTTTTAGGTTGTAATATGTGTGTGTTTGTTTGTCTGTCTGTCTGTCTGTGTCTGTATAGATAGATAGATAGATAGATAGATAGGTATACATATATATTTCTCTCTCTCTTGCAAATATAAAGAATTTTAATATAGCTCCAATTTCTGTAATCTTTTTGTTGCCTAATTTATTTTTGTGATAAAAGTTAAACCATGCATCGCATCAACTGTTCTCTTACATTGTCTATTTTCCTTAAACTGTAAAAGCTTAAATTGCATCATGTATTAGATTAAAGTTCAAAGTTCAATTATTTATATGGTCCTTTTTATACAGGATTTTCATTCATTGGTAGTATATTTTTGAGGGGCAATACCACTGTCTGTTTGAAGTCAGGATAATCAGTTATAATACTAAATTAAAGTTTGGCCTTAGGGAACATGAATAGGGTGTGAGTGAGTGTGTGAGTGTGTGTGTCCTTGTGCTTGTGAGTGCCTTCATGTATGTGTGAATGGATATGGGTATATTTATGAATTGTATAAATGTTTATGTTTTTTTTTTTTGCTAGTCTGGCATCCTCGTGTCTTGGAATGAGCAGTTTTAGTTGAAACTGAAGACCATTTCATCATAGCTCTGAATATGTAAATCGGTACAAGTTGGATGATAAAGGACCAGAAACATTGAATGTGAAAAATCAAGTGATATTTTTGTTATGAAACTGTAAGAGATGTCACATAGGTATTTGCATAGTGTTAATCTGTTTGCACAATATTTCATTTAATGTTATGCACAGTTACGGTAAGATATGTATTTTTTTTTTATAGTTGGGATAACTATTGAAGATTCCATATGTAAGGTTTATGGTATATACTTAAAAAAAATCTTTTAAACAAATATTTGACATATTTTATACAAACACTCAGAACTTGTCGGTGATGTAATGAAGCAACACAGAATGATTGCAGTAAGGTATTTATTAGTTTGCATTGTAGCAAACTGCAAAATAGACACATATTACCTATCCATAACTTGATAAAGTAATGAAATTTTCATTACATCTAACATTGTGAATATTAATATTGCAATGTGTGGTCAGTGTAACCAATTGGATCCAGGTGAATTAGTGAATTACTTGAGTGGTAATTCCCCTGGGTATGTGGTATGTAGGCCTGGACCTCATGAACACTCATTTGTGAAGTCAAGACGCCTTGCCTCCCCATTCAAATGTTATCTCTTTTTCTACTTAAACATATTTTCATGATGTCATGGTCACATCACATGGATCCAAGGGGTTAGGTACCAATAACTATGACTACAAATGGGAACTGTAAGTGCAATATTTGAAAAGTTCAGATCCTGTGTGAAGTTCTTATCCCATGTAAAGTTCAAATCATATGTGATGAAAACTAGGCTTAGGTGTTTTATATTTCCAATTTCTTTTCTATTTAGAGTAACTTGATTTCAGGGATTTACACTGCATTTTATCAGAAGCATGTATGAGGCCTGAAATACAAAAAGTCAATGCTAGATCAGCAGCTTTCATGTCAAAAAGAGAATTTTTCATTGGTCAAGAAGAGTTTTTCTGTATAGCTCTTTTGATGATGTATACTGTAAACTACCACATATTTTCTTTTATTGTTGAGAGATAATATGTTGTTATGTATGCTTTTATGTTTAGAGTCATGTGCATTTTTTTCTTTTTAAAGATTGTTTTGTATTTTTATAGCATTTGGATATTTTGTTATGTATTATAGGTTCCATTATATTGTAATCTGTTGTAATGGTTAAATGATACACATTAAAAATGATAAATTGAGAAGCAATCAGAGCTTATTATTTTATTCATGACAACCTCAATGTATGTTCCTGATGCTAATGGATTATAGAATGTACAATTTTGTTTTAAGGTTAGCAGTTAATAAATAAATACAATGCTCTATTATTCTGTATCTCATAAACATAAATATTTTCCTATGGTAAGGACTCAAGGGATATTTTTAGAATTAATATGTTTTATCAGAAGACCAAAATGATTTCACCATTTTATAAATCTCATACTTTGGTTGATTTCTGTCATATTCACTGGTACAAAGTTTCTGCGTTGTTGGAGGAAATGTTTTTGCTTAGGCGTAATAGCAATGTCTGCACATTTATATTCCTTACCTGATCTTGCATAGAATTAATCAACATCAGGTTTTACATTTTTCGTAATTTGATGTTCAAGAAATGATAATTATTTCCCTGTTATGACGAAAGCTTTGCAGTATTTTTTTTTTCAACTGAAGTGCTATCACTTAAATTATTTGAAAAAGTGACTACTCATAAGACAAAATGTTTTTTTTATATTAGTAATGTTATTTTGATGGTAGAATGTCAAAGGATTGTTGTTATAATAAGTGTTGAATAAGTCTTGTCAAGTAATAAGAACTAATGTAAAGTACCATGATATGCAACAATTTTGGTTTTAGTGTGTTCTTATTGACATTTATGCAAATTTTATGGACAGCGAAGAGAAATCAAACATAGATGACAGCAGTTTCTTTATTGTCTGGTAACATTTTTATATAATTTGACTCAATGAAAGTAGATGTATGGCATCAACTGTTGTTTTCTACGGAAGGATCTTCATCACCAATATACACGGATGCTACAGCACCTCTGTTATCTTTTCGCACATTCTGACATACGTTGGAAACAGCATTTTGAAGCACTCTGAAAATAGCATTTTGAAGCATTCTGACACATGTTGAAACCGTTTCTAATATTTAACAAATGCTTAGTTTCATCCATTTTGACACAAGCCAAAATTTCATCATTCACCTCGTACTACTATTCCCTTCCCTTTGAAAGTCATTTCACAATATATAACTTTTCACAAGAAGTTTCTAAATAGCATTACTGCACATTTGTCATTTAGCGAGCTACATAAACTCTGAAGCATTTCTTTTCCTAAAAACGGCCCCGTAATACGAATATCCGTAGCAGCTGAGCCCCATCCAGATGAACGGGCAGGTAGACGGGCACTGTTACAACCGGGAACAAAAGGACGAAGGGCACACACCAGACCGAGCTGTGGTAAGGCAGTGACCGTAGTCGTGGTTGTTCAGTAAACGTCAGCCAACAAGCGTACACTCGTGCTTGCCAACTACCCTCGAAACGTTGGCTTGGAACATTATTTGGTTTACAGTGTTTGCCCGATACAACCCGTTCGTCCGGATGGGGCCTTTTATTTTCACGGTCTGGGCAACGAGAGCGCGGAAGTTTGTGCACAGAGTGATAATGTTGTAAGCTCGAATATACGCGTGTTCTTTACGTACAAAAGTTACATTAATTGCTGCACTGAGAAAATATAAAATAAACTTACGTAGCTATAAAACTTGTGTAATCCAGACATTTAGCTTACACCATATTCCCAGCCTGGCAAATGACTGCTTCATTTTAATGCATATTGATAATCTTTTATTAGATAATTGCATTTTGACACATTCTGACTCATTTGTAAGATAATCTTCCATGTCTATGTCAGATTTACCAATTTTCCAATCTTAATAATAAGACGAGACAATGAAATGTAGTATAGGAAAGAACTGATATAAAAAAAAATATAAACCAATTAAAAAAATCTTGGTTGCTATACAAAAATAAAACACGAATGTAAGAACCTTGCCTTTCTGTTTTGAAGCTTAAATGCTCAGTGCCTGTAGACGGGCAGGGTACAAAGCTGGGCATAATCGCCAACTTTACAGTGTCAAAGGTACTACTGGGAGATCCTGTTTGAAGCAGGTGGATACGCAAGAATGGAAGAGGAAGGAGCAATGGCTGAGTTCTGCGGAATTCCGGGCCGAGTATGAGCAGAGACCGTACTGGTCTGAGCACTTTTCTATTGCACACTCTGCTGGAGAAGTTTAGGGTTAGTCAGAGGCTGTGGAGGTACTAAATCAAAGAAATATTCTAAAGTCAACAAAAAAGCAGTGTATATATATATATATATATATATATATATATATATATATATATATATATATATATATATATTATATATATATATATGTATACACATATATACACATATATGTACATATCTGTATATATCTGTATATATATATAACAAAAAAGCAGTGTATATATTCATATAGCTTAATAACGCCTAAACGTTTTTCGGTCCAAAATAAGTAATACTCAGATAATACTCAGATTATGTTGACAAGGTTAATATTGAAAAACGTCAAGTAAAGAATCTTGCAAAGCCAATTCAAAGAAAGCGCAAGCAACATACTATACACAGATTAATACAATATGTATGTTGAGAGTGAGCGAGCGAGAGAGACAGAGAGAAAGAGAGAGTGAGTGAGTGAGTGAGTGAGAGTGAGTGAGTGAGTGAGTGAGTGAGTGAGTGAGTGAGTGAGTGAGTGAGTGAGTGAGTGAGTGAGTGAGTGAGTGAGTGAGTGAGTGAGTGAGCGAGCGAGCGAGTGAGCGAGCGAGCGAGCGAGCGAGTGAGTGAGTGAGTGAGCAAGTGAGATACTTGAATTCACTATATCATGCTTGTTTTAGGTGCATTGTTTATTTATCATGTCTGATTTTGTAAAGTTACTCTCTGATGAGCTTTTTTGTTTGTCATTTCGGTGTTTTACCAGTATATCTAATTTCTTGCAGCAACAAATCACGGAATAGGCGAAGATGTTTATTGCAAAGAGACTGTTAACAAATTAACCATTAGTCAGGGACAGTAAGTAAAAGAATAGGTAGACTATGTTTCTAGGAAATCAAACCAACGCACTCTCACAATGGACGAGAGAGAGAGAAAAAAAAATACGCACCGACTCCCTTCGTTGTAAAGAGGTTGCAGCCTGGAGTGGGTTCGTCTGTGGTGTATCTCGTAGCCAAGGACCGTTTCGTCCACCACGCTGAAAATAGTCGAGTCAGAGGCCCTTGTTCCGTAACACCGAAGTGAGTTCTGACTCTTATTTACACTACATATGCACACACACACACACACACACACACACGCTCACACACACACACATACACACACACACACACACACACACACACACACACACACACACACACACACACACACACACACACACACACACACACACACACACACACACACACGCACGCACGCACGCACGCACACATACACGCAGAGCTCCAGTGCTTATATGTGTGTGTGTGTGATGCAGGGTGTCCATGTACGCTAACAGACAGATACATTTACATACATATTTCAGTTCCATTAACTAATCTATCTCTTTTTTACATACTGCTG